GTCCCACCAACATATTAAAAAATTAGAACTGCATGACCATTTGCAAGGTCGGGCCTTTCTTTGTGTCTCTATTGACTGGGCAACTCAGTTTATTAATACAATTTTTCAAGCCTTAAGTACTGTGAAAACTTGTTTCCACTAATTTGATTGATTGATAGATGCTTGTAAAAATAAAATTTACGTATAAACAGTATATGCACGCCTTGCTAGTGTTTTAATTAAAGAAAACTAAACAAATCATTTCAATGAACCTTATGTACATATGATGAGTTAAATAAAAATGGTTCAACATAAAAACAGAGAATAAGAATAGTTTTTAATGTGCCTCTAAAGAAGTCACTGAATACCCAACAATAAATAATACATTCAAATGTACTCATTCATTAGTCACTCATCATTACGCATTAAATATTTTAGATAAACTATAATTATTGCCTAAATCTGACTTATGCGGTGAATATTGAGACTGTTTTCACCATGTATCCAACATAAAACGAATACCTCTTAAACTTTTTCTGTGAATAATAACCAAAAATGAAAACAATGCAATGGTGGTTCTTATTTTAAATAATATGCAGATTTAATACGTCAAATTGCAAGCAAATCTGATGGCTATATTATTTAATTAATACGGAAAGTAACTTTTATAAAACGACACTAAATTAAAACACTAAATTCGTATTGTCTTAATTTAAAAAAAATAGTGACACAGATTGGCCTGTAATTTGATCTACTAGAGCCCGGTTTTTCAATGACTAGCAAAATTAGCTGTCAGTTAAGGTCGAAGATCCTATTGGTCGAGAAATCACTAACTGAGACATAACTTAGCTTTCGTTTTTATTTGTCATCGACAGCAATTTAAGCTCAATTTACAGGTATATGTTGGATACTGGTGAAAACCTCGCGCCGCACAGTGGTTCACAGAGCAGATTTAGCTTATCAAAAGTTCTCAACTCATGTTGCCAGATAACGGTCATTCCCATTAGCCTTTCTAAGACGTCTTAAGACTGTCATACATAGGTAAAATTATTTCCTTACATTCGATACATAAATCGTGGCCGAATACAAACAATTATTTAAACTCCCTCATTTTCAACTCGTTTCAGTCACTGTTTTAGACTGCTGCGCTGGTATTATATGTGTTTAAGAGAAAAGTTATAATTTTTATAGCAATAATTAATCGGAAATAAAAATAATTGAAACGAAAAGTTTGACAAAGCTTATATATATTGTGGAATTTCTTGGAACCTTCTAATTTTCTATGCATATTAATTTATAGTTATTAGATTTTAAAAGTTTTCTAGTCAGAGGCTCTACTTTTTACAATTCTTCCTGTTATTATCAAAACTGTATACAATGTGTCTCCCAGGTCCGTACGAACTTCGGGTAAAATAGATGATGTCAATTTTACTTTAAAATGTTATTGAAGTATTTTAATAAGACTATTACGAAATTAGTGAAAGTTGCAGTGGGGTTGGGCGTTGCCAACTGTAAATAACTATTTGAACGAGAATATGACATATACATCAAAACATTTTTCTAAGGTTTAAAATATTTATCCCTGTGCCGTATTGCGCAAAATGTTAATCAAATAGGTATTCGCAGTTTGCCACGCCCGATTGCAACTTCTACTCGTTTTTATTTCAGTAGGTGCCAGCAACATAGTCCAAAGAGAGTTATTTGAAGTATGGCATACAGAAACGCAACAGAGTGAATAAACGTTTGCTGTGTATCGATATACTCAAGCAACACAAAAACGTCCTATGGATATCCCTTGGATGTATTCAATGGATATAGTACCCACAGCGGAAATCCACTGAATTATACATTTGTCACAACTAAGAACACCCATAGATGGTCCAGTTGACACATCCATAGGCAGTCCAGTGGATGTTCATTGTCTGTTCATGGATATCCACTGGATATTTGTTTGCGTACATTCAGTGGATGTCCTGGTATGGGCGTCTATCAGATGTCTAAATATGTCCATGGACGTCCAGTGGCGCTATTTTTGCGTACATCCAGTGGATATTCTGATATGAATATCTAGTGGATGTTCAAAATGTATCTATGGATGTCTTGGACATATTATGAACCTAAATTGGACGTCCAATGGATGTTGTGTGCTGTATGTTACGAAATTACATTTAGTGAAAATGAAAAACATGTTGGGGAAAAACTACTCCAGAAATTGGGTAAAATTATGTTCATTAATTTTAATTACTTTTAGTCACACTGACCGTTAATTTTTTCGTTTAAATCATGGTTTGGCATAACAGGAATACATAACAAATCTATAAAGTATATTAAAATAGAATCAAGGTATTTTTATTCATCATAATACATATTTTTGATAAGCTAAATCCGCTCTCTGAACCACAGTGCGCCGCACCGCCTTAAGAAAAGAATGAGGACAGCTTTTGACGGACATTAATTGTTTTTGGTACGACCTTTTTCTAAAACTTGTCGCAGCATAGCAAAATTCAGTTATAAACTGCTACTGTGGTGCACACAATTTTTTGAGAATTAACCTCAAATATTAAACCTAATCCACGATAGAATGTATCAAAATTTTATGCAAAAAAAATTAAATAATTTTAGGATTACCAAGATCCAGGTTCTTTCTTATAAGATTTATATAAAATTTTGTAAAAAATTCAAATAATTCACAAAACTATTTTAATCCTTCAATGATGAAAATGGGTATAAATTTGATCCCAACATTACTTTTTCTGTATTATACGGTTTTTGCATCATCAGACTGTGTAATTTTCTAGTCGACATTTTTCGCATACGCAACATTGATCTATTATTATGTGGTTTGATAGTTTTTATTTTAAATTGTTGAAAAACACTAGGGTCGTCATTTTCGTTGTTATGTTCTCGTTTTGGACCAAATACATTTCGTATTACCTTTGTCGGAGTTGTAAATGAGGGTGAATTCAGGCCGTAACGGTGTAGTAGGCGTACAGCGGAAGTGAGAAACGCATGTTCGAGTTTCTAGTAAAAATTCTATATAACCCGTTCCCCTCTGACACCTTAGTGTTTAGTGTAACCAACATAAAACGAAAGATCAAACAGCAGTACTACGCATCTGAACTGCAGAGTATAAAAACACTACAATTACGTCGCGTTGCTACTGGTAAGGTGGCACCACTTTTCTGATTATAAATAATTGTGAAGATGTCAGAAAACATTGATTTATCTTTGTAAAACTTGCTAAATTCAGTAGTACTAAATATAACATTAATGTATCAGATTTTGCCAAAAATGTACTAGATTTGCATCAAATGTACCAACGTATTAGATTAGGTCAGAATATACTGATCTAGTACAGTTGTACTAACAGTGGCAACACTGCTAAGATATACTTTTAAATAACTAGTCGAAGTTTTCTGCGTTTATGACTATGGCCGCAGATGAGCATCTCTAATGATTAATTGATTTTTTTACCCTTGCATGATATAAATACCAATTTTATGTACTACTTAATAAGTAGCTACTCCAATTAGGGTAGTCTGCACACTTAGTATTGTTATACTAAAAATTTAATTCAGTATGTATCATCTTTTAAAAATATTCACAACAAAAACTCCAATGATAATTTATAAACAAGAAAAAAATTGATTTTTCCTATTTAGGGAATGGCTTGGTGTTAACGACCTGGAAATTAAAGTTGCGTCCTCAGTTTAATAATTCATTGGTATATGTCAAATGTATCCATTTTAACGAATATCTACAATGTGACCCATTTGAGACCTGACACTCACCTGAACACCTTGGTAAAATTTTTGTTTATTGCTCGATTTTGCTAACAACTGTACTTTAAGACAAAACGTGACATTTTATTTACAACAAACTGCGATCTTTTGAGGGGCTAAAATTCAAAAAACCATGTTAGCGATTTTTTCTATAAAAAATTTGAATACACCTCTATATTCGGCACCCTCTTATAAATGGGGATGTGCCAAATTTCACTAAAAAATTAAAAATTTCAAAAATTTTTCAAGTAAATTAAGAATAGCAATATTATTATGAATTTATTATTACAAAGTAAACCATGGAATAAATATGAAAAACACGACAAAATTAATTTTATTAATAGCACTTGTTAGCGCCAAGCGTACCACAATATTACATGTCCAAGTGGTGATTCAGTAATAGTGTACTCTCACATAATAGTGCGTCTCCGACGTCGATATGTCGAGTTCTATGATAGCTAAGAAACTTGATTTAAACACATAAATAAACTAGACAAAAAAGTCTATAACCGGAAATTATTTTCGAATATACAGGGTGAGCTAAGACCATTCTACAGGGTCAACTAACATTTTTTTAAATGGAATGCCATGTATATCAGAGCATTTTTTGAAACCTTTTTGTGGAAGTGAAAATGGCTGAGTGTCATCACACAGATGTCTCATAACTGGTACTAACATATTTTTTCTTAAAATCGATAGTTGCGATTGTAGGGATATTTTTAATATACACGTGCAAATGGTATAATTTCAATTTCAGGGTTTTAGAAAATAAAAATACAACCCCACGTGTCATATTGTTAATCCTGGATACAGCTGTGTAGGTGGTGAATTTATCTCTAATATATTCAGAATATTCAGATAGTTGTTCTGTGATATTCAGTTATTTTGGTCAAATGTTTTGGAAGGAATTGATAAAAATTGTAGAACAACTGTGAAAGTAGTTTTTATGTTTAATCTGTTGCATTGAAATGTTAAGGATTGGTTGGACTCTGTATAAGTATACGCGCCGAATTGTTTATTTAGTTGTTGAATATAATTTACTAAAGTGGAAATATTCATTACAAAGGCATTATGTACTTTGTGTGGATGCCTCGGTAAATGACAAGATTTAAATAATTTTTACAAGTTCTTCCATACAATCTTTATTTTTCTTATAATTATTAAATTATTTTTCCTATTGAAGACAAACGCATTAAATATTTAATTAATTTGAGTAGGCAGTGTTTATAATATAATTGTTCCTTCGTGGTCGAGTGGTGGGAACACTTGCCTCTCACCATGAGGTCCCAGGTTCGAATCCTGGTCGAGGGGCTAGGATTTTTTCTAAACCAGAAATTACTCCTAATATACCGGACATTGGGTGTGTGTCCCTTGTCTTTAAATGTGTATCCCTCTCCCACACAAGGTACCTTTAGGGATAAAGTATCCCACACCAGACATTTACTTTGTGTGAATATTGTCTTCTACAGTTGATGACCCATTCAGTGTTTTCGACTGACCAGTATCGCGAATTTTGAGAAGAAACCACTCCGTTAGTGGTAAAGCAAAATTCCATTCTTCTTTCTTCATCTCCTGGCTCTGAAGTGTGTAAAAATTTATGTTTAAATGGTTTCACGTAGTTGTTTACAAGGCATCTTCTAATAGTTTCTCTTGAAATATTTAAAACTAGTTCAGCGCGTCTAAAGCTGAGTTTTGGATTATTATGAAAATATCCCAAAATTTTGTCATTATATCCAGCTGCATGTACATTATTTCTTGTTCTGTCTTTGATAATATGTTTTGACACCGTACCTGCTTTATTAAAAGTTTTATTTTTATTGTATACAGTAATACTGCCGACTGTAGATCAATTAGGATGTCTATCGTAACATTAAATTCCCTTGCTAGTGCTCTTACCGAACGATCATTATCACCAACAAGACGAAATTTTTCAGTTTTGTTGCTCCATAATTGTTAATGAATATCAATAATTTTTAAAGGTGTTTAGCACACAAAACTTATTCTGACTCTAACTGACAGTTAACAACTTTGATTATTCACAACATGGCAAAGTTACATGGAATTTTGGCTGCAGGCCTGGGGAGAAATAGTCAACAAAAAAAACTTTTTTTAAGAAAACATTAGCAATTTTCAAATCGGTTTTATAAATTTTACGTGAAAAATGCTTATTACTAATTAAACCCTAGCCAAATTTGAGGGTGACGTCATACTCTATTTTTCCTTATAACGCGTGAACGTCTGAAGATATCTAATGTCGTTCTGGTTCCTAAATTTCTGTTTATAAATAGAATTTAAAACCCCCAAATCTATATACTTAAATGTTTTTTGTATATATAAAAAAATTACCTTTGTTAGATATGTGTAAGATTTTAAATACTCTAGAAAAAATATTTTAGGAAGTCCCTTTATCGTTTTTCAAGTAAAAATTATTTTGCGATTGAAATCTATTTAAATAATAACATTTACTAAAAATGAGTCTCACTGCAAAAGGGATAATTGACAACTCTGTCCGATGATTTTCAGTATCCAGTAAGCTTACACAAACTCCACGATGGAAAATATCTTCGTTCAAAATAACATAAGAAAATGAGAAAAATCGTTCGAAACGCAGGATCCCTGTTGTACCGTACCATATATGTACTTTACACATTTTTTTTTTGCGTTTGCATATTTACTTTTAATATTATTTTTTTAATTACATCAAAAAGATCCATGCATGCAAAAACGAAAATTCTTTTAAAAAAATATCTTTGGATCCCGTTTAATCCACTTTAATTTAAAAATTATAAACACTTTTTTACTTGTCTAATTTTCACTTTATTTGTTATTTTACAACTAGTTTCATCCTATTCGGACATTTTCAAGTAAACTAAATTATACACAGATTTTACTTTAATTTAAATATAAACTGACCTGAATAGAAGGATGGGTCACTTTATGGTTGATAATATAATTCAAATTTGTACAGATGTTATGTTTTTAAATGTAGGGGTTTTCCAAGCTAGTAAATTATATTATGGTGTGATTTTTATTAGCAGCAGTTTATCTGAATAAGTTTAAAAACGGAGAATTATTTAAATCTATTTGGTCGTTTAATATGTTGTAATTTTTATTCCTATTTAATTTATTAATTTCTAACACTTCTAATAAATTAAGTTTTTTACTTTTCCCACAAATATGTAATATTTTAGGTTGATGGTCGTCAGTTATTGTATGACCAGAATCGGTTAGATGTTTATAAAAGTTGGAATGTTGTTTTTGTGTGTGAATATGTTCTCTATATCTTACTCCGAACGATCTCCCTGTTTGGCCTACATATGAGGCGTTACATTCTGGGCAATCTAATCGATATACACCACATTTTTTAGAGATATCAGTTTTTTGTTTTGCATTGAAAAGATATCTGCCTATATTTTTGTTAGAACTAAAAGATGTTTTAATATTAAATTTGGAAAAAGTATTGCTAATTGAATAGGAGAGTTGACCTGAATATGGTAATGAAATGTATGTTTGAACTTTTTTCTCGTTAATAGTGGGATAAAGTTCTTTCAAGAGGGACTTATTTTGTTTTTTATAGATTAAATTGTTGATTATATTTTGAGGGTACCCGTTATTATGTGCAATAAGTCTTATTGTGTCTAATTCTTCTTTTAAATCTGTCTCAGATAGAGGTAAGCTGAAGGCTCGGTGTGTCATAGATTGATATGCGGCTAATTTGTGGGAGAGGGGGTTATAGGAATTAAAGGGTATAGTGGCGTCTGTAAAAGTTGGTTTGCGGTAAATATTATAGGAAAATGATGTTTTATGTCTTTTTATAGTTAAGTCGAGAAAGTTTATCGATTTAGTTAGTTTACTTGAAAATGTCCGAATAGGATGAAACTAGTTGTAAAATAACAAATAAAGTGAAAATTAGACAAGTAAAAAAGTGTTTATAATTTTTAAATCAAAATGGATTTTCACAAAGTAACTTCATCTTCAATCAACTTTTTAATCCACTTTAACTAAACTTTTCTACGTTTTCTTTCTTGGAATTTGGTATTTTCACATATTGGTACGATGCACCAGTAATATGATGATAATTTAGAAGAATTGATCATTATAATTATTTCACTTAAAATTTCACAACACAAATCACAAATAACACTACTTGTTTACATTTAACAACATGCTATGCCTGCTTCTGCACGAGAACTACATGATCAGTGACGTCACCGCAACGACTTGTCCGGCTTGTATTACGTAACGACTCCAAAAATGCCAAAATTATATTTTGTGCATGGGGCCTATTGTTTTTAATATTTATTCCATGACTTACCTTGTTTGTAATAATAAATTCATAATATCTACTATTCTTAATTTACCCGTACAATTTTCGAAATTTTGAGGGATTTGTTGTGCGGTTCGTACGAATTAATTGTTGCTTTCCAGACTTTGTCGAGAGGAAAATATATGCCAGCAAGTTAGATTTGATCAGCAAGTTAGATTTGATCAGCAAGTTAGATTTTTTTAAAATCTAGTGGTAGAATTACATCCTTTCGAATAATATAAATAATTCTCTCTAATATATAGGGTGATCCAAATTGAACGTTAGGATTTGCTTTCTGAATAAAAATCAAAATATTGGGAAAATCCGAATTTTATTGGTATCAGTATAAAGTACAAACTTAGCAGTTAGGTATGAAATATGATGTCAGCTAAATGCCCTCCACGGCTCCGCTGAAATGTTACCATTCTTTTGGCGAAGTTTTTCATAACGCTTTCGCATAAATGCGGCTCTATTTCAGCAATTGCACCTCTGATGTTCTCTTTTAGCTCTGGAATCGTAGCAGGTTTGTTTCCTTCAAATAGCCCCACAGAAAAAAAGTCTAATGAGGTTAGATCGCAAGACCTCGGTGGCCAATCGATGTCACCCCTCTGAGAGAAACACGACTAGGATATTTGGTTTGAAGTAAAGTGACTGTTTCACGTGCTGTGTGACATGTGGCTCCATCCTGTTGAAACCACATGTCATTCAAGTTCAAATTGTTGGTTTCATTGAAAAAAAAGTGGTCGAAGTTTTCTTAATGTAATCGTAACTGATCGCCTGTTTTCATAAAAAATTTCTACGATATTTATGCGTTGCTGCACAGTATACGGCGCCATGATGAATTTGCCGTATGTTTCGATACCAACTGTACAAATGCAAACTCCCAACGTTCACACAACGCAAATGGCGCGTAATTCAAATCCTAAAGTTCAGTTTGGATCACCCATTAGTTATAGAAACTCGAATTTTTATTTTTGGTGTGATTATACATTAACTTTTAGAAAACCTAATAAAATAATAATTATTGGGTATGACATAAGCAACCTTTCTAGAAATGCATGAATTCAAAGCAAATAAAATGTCAGATTTTTTAAAAATACCTTAACTTCCCTATAACCGCTCTTCTAGCGGAAAATTAAAAATGGAAATGTTGCTTCTAACAGATAATTTAATCCTTTTCAACCATGACTGGTAAGACTGGCCGCTTTCACACTTTATGATGTATTATTATTATTCTTAATTATAAAATGCGAAATCAGTAATGTTAATGTTATTTCTTGTATTATTGACGAACTGCCGCAGGGTATAGTACAAGGTGATGCAAAATCAGTTAGCAGCAGACCACCAGAATTGTTTCAAGGATTTTTAAGCAAGTTGAACTCAGACATCGCTTTCATAAGAGTCTCGTTAGAACCAAACATGGCTGTAAAAACCTCGCATGTGGTGTAAGGTGTAAGTTTTGCATAGAAGACACTAAACATTTACATTCTACCCTACAACGAATCTTTAAAAAGAAAGAAATTGCTTAACAAATGGATGGTTAAAGCAGGAATGCTAGTTTTGTAAAAATGCAGCTTTAAAAACATTGTAAATGCCAATGAAGTTAATGATTTTTATAATTTTTATAATATTTAACAGTAATAATTATAACAATGTAAAAGGTATTTAGATAGAGATTTTAGAAATTTATTCAAAAATTATAAATTAGATAAACCTAATACGAAATAGTCAAAGTTAAATTCTTTCCCGAAAGGATTTAATACAAAATTGAAAATAATGCCAGTGTCATGTATAAATATTATTCCTAAAATCTATCGTTTAGGAGGACGTTGAAGTTTGAATTTTTTTTTATCCGAACTACGAAGAAATTTGTTTAAATTTTGGTATGTTCCCCTTCGAGACTAAGTGTTATGTTATGAAACACGAATAAGATTGCAACAGATCTTTTATACTATTTCTAAAGTCATTTGGAACGCTATAAAAACGCAGACAAAGAGATTTACTCATTT